TTCACCAAATAGTACACAAGGACACGCACAACACTGGTGACCCATCGACGTTTGCAAATTACGTAATTTCGTGTGACAAAAGAGTAGGCGACTCACTAAGTGCTCGAGGCAGAGGCATATGAACCGCGTGGTGCAAAGTGCAGAAGTGAGGTTATAAAGCAACGCGCACATATCCGCTCATCAAAATGAACCCGCAACTGGTACCAGGTACTCCAGGCGCTACTCCAGCAACGGCAGCGGACATAGCGATGGTTACGGTGCAAATGAGAGTTCCAGAATTTTGGAGAGAACTACCGAGGTCGTGGTTCTGTCAATTCGAGGCGATTATGGCACCACAGAAACAAGGCGACACGCAGAAGTACGACATGGTGTTGGCAAAATTACCCACAGACGTTTTGCAGCAGGTAACCGATATTATCGAAGCACCACCGGAATCACGCAAGTACGAGATCATAAAAGAGCGCTTACTGTTGGTTTATGAAGAGAGTGCAGACAAACAATTTCAGAAATTGATGCACGAAATGGACCTGGGCACACAAAAACCGTCGCAGTTACTCAGGAAGATGACAACGCTAGCAAAAAAATGCAATCTGACAGAAGAACCACTCAAGAGGCTATGGTTAGACAAGCTCACACCTAATGTGCGCGCACTACTGGCAATGAGTGAGGATACCAAGTTGGAGGAGATGGCCAAGAAGGCGGATAAAATATTAGAAACCCTTGGAAGCGGCGAGGTTGCATCTATAACGCCGAGTACGTCGACAGCAGGACCCAGCGAAAACGACAGCGTAGCTAATCACTTAAAAGAATTAGCAATGGAAATGAAGGAATTGCGTGGAGAAATAAATGAGATCAGGAACAGAAACAGAGGCAGCGCAAGAGACACAGACGGAGGTGGGCGATGGCAACAACGTCCCAGATCCAAAAGCCGGACGCGGCGAACACCAGATTCTCCCGACTGGCTATGCAGACACCATTACCGCTACAGGAGCAATGCGCGGACGTGTGAAGCACCGTGCAGCTGGGCCAAGAAGCAGCGGAAGCAGGAAAACTAGACGCGGTGCAGTCAGCATCGGTGGAAGATTGTGCCGCGGGGAACCACCGACTTTGTGTAAAAGACTACAAAACGGGAATTGTGTACCTTGTCGACACGGGTGCTAACGTGTCAGTGATACCTGTGAGTAAAGTGAGATCAAAACAAAAACAAGAGTGCACGTATAAGCTTTTCGCAGCAAATAATTTGTGCGTGTCCTTGTGTACTATTTGGTGAATAAAGATTAATGTATTTTGATGAAATAAATGTCTTTAATTTCAGTTCCACAATACTTCGTTATTACTAACTACGTACTATGTAGATGTCGAGGCAGGGCGGTGTGACGTACGCGACTGGCGAGCCGAGCGCCCGCGCTCCCAGGTTTCGACAATAATGCAACTCAGCCATTTGCGGTTACTAAGCCGCCACATGGTAATGTACATACATAATTAAGTCCGCCATTGTACATCTACAAAAAGAGTAAATAAATAAATAAATAAAATTACCTACTTAGTTACTTGTGATTTCTCTCATTTGTATTTCCCCGACGCAAATGAAAGAACTTAAAAACAATAAGTAACATACCTAATAAAAGTTTCTCGGCCTTTTGTTCTCATCCGTTGGTTGCACGTCTGCCTTGCACCTGCTGTTCCCAGTTTCCCACTAACTACCCCGTTAACTTTATAGAAATCAACTTCACCTTGACCCTTGATGTGTAAACTGTCGAAATGTATTTTAAAATATACCAATATTGTTCAAAAATTGCGATTTTTACAAAAAAGGCGGTCTGTATGGAAATCATCAAAGCACGAAGCAGTGGGTTATTTATATGTGCGTGTGTAATGGGCAATGATCGGAAAAAGGTGAGCTAATTTACCTAAACTTCAAGGAACAAAAACAAAAAGTGGAGACTTCCTTACTACAACATTTTTTTCGGGAAAGTTTCGGTTCCAGTTTCGGGATATTTACATAATATATATGACAATAAAAGTTTTAATTTTGTTTGGTATTGTGTTAAGTTTAAGAAATAAAATCACGAAACGAAATCAATTGTTTTCTGTATTAATAAAAATTATATTAAATGTAATATACAAATATCCCGAAACTGGAACCGGAATTTTCCCGAAAAAAATGTTGAATTATGGAAGTCTCCACTTTTTGTTTTTGTTCCTTGAAGTTTAGGTAAATAAGCTCACGTTTTTCCGATCACTGGTAATAGGTTACCACGGTACCAGGCTTAAGAAAATGACAGATTTCCTTCGTGTCTGCGTGTAAGTCTTTAGTAACCGTGCCATAGTCGTTGTTTTAAGAGACTGTGACCGGCCTTTTTTCAACGTCCTTGGCCGGATCACCGTCCGTAATATTCATAGGTAATATTACATTACTTACTTTTGATACTATACGTGTAACGGAGTGTTTGGAACTGTCAAGCTTATCGCTTTTGACGTTTAGGTTTGTCAAAGTCAAATGAAATGTCGATGTGACATTTTTCCTATTCGCATGTTTTCATTCGCGTCTGTTCGGTTTCGCAAAAGTTGTCGTCATATTTGTTGTCGTGGTATCGGAGGATTGGCTGTCTGTACAAATAATTTGCAATTGCAATTTGTACTGTTAGGATGTCCAGTGTTTTAAGTGAAGGATCTTCACTACCTCACGGTAGGTAACTTATTATACTTTTTTTAGATACTTGTAATAAATTACCCGACAGCAAACTAATGCATTTTGTCTGTATTTTACAGTAAATCTACAGTTTTAATAACTACTATCATACAATAAGAGTATTCAAGAAGACGTTTGAATCAATTAAAAATAAGTACTTGCACCAAAAAGTTGAACTCTTCAAATAAATTAGAGGATTCAATTCTGTTATCTAGATTGATATTGATGGCTAATTTAAATTTAATAAAAACAAGAAGAAAGAAGAATATTAGCTTTTTAAATACTAAAAAAGAATATTAGTAAATATATTGTAAATGATTGAAAATTCAAAACACTTCAACCACATTTTCAATGTAAAAATAGCTATAATTAGATCATAATTATTATCCAAAATATGATCTAAAAAGGTTTATTTATCTCTCAATCTGAAGCGCTGATAAATTAAAAATGTAGACTATTGTCATTGGTGGTTGTTTATCTGTTAGTTAACTAAGTGGGTTTGTTTAGTCAACTATTGGTCACACTTGTGTTTACATTTAAAATGACAATAGATCAAATTGTTCTTGGTACAGTTATGCAAACATCACTTGCTTATATATTTAGAGTCTTGTTAATCTACTGCTATAATCTTAATATATTTATTTAGATAGTACTTTTCTTGTAACAATCTAAAATAATTGTATAGTTTTGTAACTTCAATATAATTTTTTAATTAGTTAAGCATAGCTCAATCTAAAGGAATTAATTGGGAACATATAATACTCATTTTTAAAATTTATGGGCCTATTTCGTAATGCTTGATTAATTTCTGTATTTATTACATTTTAATGGCAATCTGCGGACAGTGTTGTGGGTTGCATTATTGCCCAAAATTTATCTTGTGTAGACTATGTACTTATTAAGACTTTTTAATGTAACCAATTACCTAAAAAAAATTGCTATTGGCTTAAATTGTTTTGACTGCACGGTTAGTGCGGGCACGGAGTAACTCTCTGTGTGATCCACAAATTGTTGTTTCGGGTCTGGGGGTCATGTGTATTTGAACTTGTATGTTTGTAAACACAAAATGTTTGTATGGGGCAAGCAAAGGCAAAAAGCTAACAATAACTTGATCAAACATTACGAAACTGGCTCTTTTGTCTTATTAAAATTAAAAGTCCAATAACGTCTATTTCCAGAAAAATTCTTCTAAACTTTTAGAAAAATATGAAGAAGAACCAGTAACACAAACAGACGTAGCGACAATGAATCAACCGAAGGACGCAATCATTCGCATAGATGTGCCGGGCACAACAAAACACACTGAGAGAACAGAGCAGGCAGACATCAACATACTATGCCTTGACTTAAAACCATTCAGCTTCATAGTGCAATTCATGTTCTGTCTACTCTTCGTATTCATATTTTACTTAGCATATGGATATTTCCTCGAATTATTATTTGCAAATTCAGAAGTCAGCTTCTACATAACTCTAGTTCAATTTTTAATAACGACTGCATTGAGTTATGTTGAATCGTTGATAAGGAGTCGTATAAAACGGAAGTAAGTACTGTTTTCTTGTTGTTACTTTATATTGAAAAGTGAATAAACGTTTTATTACCTTTTAGTTGAAAAGTTATAAGCAGATTCGAATTAATTGAGTATGTACTTTGATTTAACCAGGATTTTAAAATTTATTTTCTTTTTCAATCTCTTTAAACTGTCAAACACCAAGCGGTCACCGGTGACCGCAACCTATTGTTCTATAATTGTGTCTACAAAACCGGTACTCGACGAGTTAACTGGATTTAGGTGTTGCATTATTCTCACTCAATGGAACCAACAAAACTATGTTACTATATAGAGAATTTTATTGTAAACCCGATTGATAGAGTAACCTATGAAGTTTCTTTCTCATTCTTCTCCATAGGACCTACACCTTGGAATGAGCAACTAGCTTCACTTCTAAATTTTTGTTGTTGACGTTCAAAAGTGCCTTCCTGGTGTAATTGAAATAAGTTATTTTGACTTTGACTTGACTTTCATAAACTTATTAAATTATATCATATTTCAGGGTACCACTGAAAACCTACGCTCTACTAGCAGCATTGACCCTCGGTACCATGGCGTTTTCAAACCTTGCTCTGAGCTATCTAAACTACCCGACGCAGCTGATCTTCAAGAGTTGCAAACTAATACCTGTGATGATTGGCAGTATTATTATAATGGGCAAACGGTACGGGTTTCTGGACTATGTGTCAGCTGTGGTCATGTGTATTGGCCTGACTATGTTCACTTTAGGTAAGGAATATTTTGTACTAACTGTTTCTCCTAGAAGACTTGGTACCATATCAAAATTAATGGTTTTTTTTTTCTTATAAAAAAACATTGCGCCATTAAGATTTTCACCTGTGTCGTGGGTGCGTTTACAATGACACCCAGGCCCGAAACAACAATTTGTGAATCACACAAAGTGTTGTTCCGTGCGGGAATCGAACCCGTTGCACGACAGCCGGTTGTCCAGCCACCGCATTAACTGTGCAGTCAGTAATGTAATCTATACAGATAAATAAAATTAGAGTGTCAGTTTGTAATATTGACATAACCGCTTATTACTACATGCATGTGAATATACATGTACTAATGGTCCCGTACAGTTCGGTTTCAGAGGAATTTTCTCCCACGGACCCTCCGATTGTGGAATGAGCTCCCTGCCGTGGTTTTCCCAGTGGGCTACAACATGAGGTTCTTCAAGAGGGCGGTGAATAGGTTTTTTAAGGGTCGGCAAGACGCATGTAATGCCCCAAGTGTTGCAGGCGTACATAGGCCACGGTAACCGCTTACCATCAGGTGGGCCGTGTGCATTTTTGCCACCGTCGTGGTATATAAAAAAAAGTACCTGTACCAAACAAACATATTTTTAAAATTTTGTTTTTTGTCTGTTTGTTTATACTGGCTAATCTCTGAAAAGGCTGGACCGATTTCGACGGGACTTTTACTGGCAGATAGCTGATGTACTATGGAGTAACATAGGCTATTTTTATTTGGAAGAATAGAGAATTAAAAATAAAGTTATGTCCAAAAACTCAAATTATATGCGGATGAAGTCTTTTCGAACAGCTAGTTTCAAATATAACTGCAGTAATCAAATGATGAGAATATAAGATCGCTGGTTTTATAATATAGATGCAATATTACTCAGCCACTTGCAAGTCCCATGTAATAGTGGGTGAACCTACACAAAACAAAAATACCCTCAATTTTAATTTAGTAATCTAAAAATACCTATGTATGTGAGTTATGTAAATTACACAACAACCTATGATAACCATTTAAAATGTAAATTCACTGTTCTCTTTTATTTTTCTAGAATTCTAGGTAATTGGAAAGGCTATATATATTTAGTAAAATTTTAAAACCGCCCTTTGCCTTACATACTTAAAGGAATTTTAAGAATCCATTTTTTAAGAGCAGAGGAAGGCCTATGCCCACGACACGACTGCCTCGTTGGCCGAGAGGTTGCAAGTGCGACTGCCGGGCAAGGGGTCCCGGGTTCGATTCCCGGGCCAGGCAAAGTATTACTGGGTTTTAAAAAAGTCTCAGTAGTAGCACATAGTCTGGAATTGTGGCCAGTATATGGCTACAGGCTCACCCCCTAATACATGGGACTTATAACATAAATAGTGAAAAGTGGGTGTTACTTCTGTGTGCACCTCTGCCTACTCTTCAGTGATAAAGGGCGTGATGTTATGTTATGTGGGTTCGCTTCGGCTTTCCATTGTCAGTCAGTATTTTAGACTTAATCAACAGAGTTCATTTAATCTAATTGTCTAATATTAATATTGTTTACAGCGGACTCCCAAACATCGCCAAAGTTCAACTTTGTAGGTGTAATAGTGATATCACTAGCGTTACTATGCGACGCTATCATCGGGAACGTACAAGAGAAGGCGATGAAACAACATCACGCATCTAACAACGAAGTAGTATTCTATTCTTACGCTATCGGCTCCATATATTTGCTGTTCATTACTGTGCCTACTGGGATCATGTCGGCTGGTATTGAGTATTGTGCACAGGTAAGATTTTTTATTTTAAAATTACGATTACCAAAATCAGGTATTAAGTGATCGGTCACTGTGTTTGTCCCTTCTCTAACATACTTAAACAGAGAGACCCCTTACTAAACAAATTCTTGATTTTTTTATTAAACCCGCGATCCCGCGAACCCGCGAGGCCTTCTGAAGTACAATTTGTAACAAACAACCCCAGTATAGGATACTAGGGGCATCGGGTGCCCAACCTCCTACTATAGAACACTAGGGGCATTGGTTGTTCTAAGCCCCCACTATAAAACACTAGGGGTATCGGGTTTTCTAAGCCCCCTCTATAAAACACTAAGGCATGAGGTGTTCTAAGCCCCCACTTTAAAACACTGGGAACATCAGGTGCTCTAAGCTTCTGCTATAGAACACTAGGGGCATCGGGTGCTCTAAGCCCCTACTATAGGACACTAGGGGCATCGGGTGCTCTAAGCCCCCACTATAGAACACTAGGGGCATCGGGTGCTCTAAGCCCCCACTAGTAATTCACCGAGGGAAGTAAAAACCAGTTTGTTTTTCTTCTCCTCTTATAATATCTTCTGATTCACTTCGTTGCGGGAACCAAGACAGTTACATGTCCCTTGGACGCGCCGGTCTTCAGTGTTCTGGTGTTTTCATGGTTGTATCTACTGTAAATCCTGGCTTACAGGAGTTGCAGCGGTTTTGGGAGGTTGCGGCGGGCTTGTCCCATTAAAAAAAAAAGCCCCCACTAGACAACACCAGTTACATATTCAGCATTATAATAATAATCATGTAGTTGCTATGGCAACAATGAAAACAAGTACATACATACGTTTTAATTAATTTTAACCTTGTAATGCCGATAACAATTTACACTGCCTTATTTATAAAAAGTTAACATGGCACTATGAAAAATATACCTACTCAATAAAAAAACCATTTGTTTTTTGTTCTGCAAAATAGTAATAATATGTATTTAGTTCTTTTTACTCGTTTTAATATATTTTATGAAGCAAGCCCACCTACTCATTTGTAAGCAATGATAACGTTTTATTAATGGCATGTCTGCTAGATAATCATGTCTAGTTTATGGTATCTCATTATGGGTTTAATTCTTATTTTAAAGATTTGATTTAATTTAAATATTTTTTACTGCAAACTGCGTCGATTCTATACACACTCTATGGGGCTGTGCGCTGGTCAAACATAAGACGGGAAATTGTAGAATAAAACTTTAGTTTATTTGATTTATATATAAAATTATTTATTGCACGAAAGGATCCAGTTTTGAAATTCACTTAATTCAAAGCCACTGATAAATTAGTGACTTTATTAGATACCTTTCGCGACACATGCTGACATACTTCAAAGTGAATTTAAACCAAGAATAAAACGATATTACAGCGATAAAAACGTAAACTATATTTTGAATACAACTACCATTTTAACTTTTTAACTTTGTTATAATAATAATAATAATAATAACCCCACCGACGTATCTCTACGTTGTCGACGTGGTGGGGCTTAAGGGCTCTGATCCCTAGTCTTATCTTGACTGGGGTAGGAGCCCGACTAAAAGAGATACAACCCAAGCCAAGGTTGCATACGCTGAGGGCTGCGTGGCTAAGGGGGTGCTTAGTCGTTAGTATGCCAACTCTGGACACTAGGGGAACTCCAGTTTTATTTACCCTTGCCACAGTGAACGCAGGGCTCTGCTGTGGTCGACCTGTTTAGTCCCTAGCTACTCGTGGGAATAAAAATGATAACAAGATCGAAAGTAAAAAATACAATGCAGGCAAATGTGCCTCCAACAGATGTTGATACATCTACGGTGTCATTGTCATCCTCTCCGAGGTCCATTTTTTCATCAACCACACCATCATCACTCTCTATCACATCACGATCATTAAGATCATCGATTTCATCAACAAGGTCAGTGGACGTTGTAACGGAAGCTGCTCCAGCTAAAAATCCGTCACCCGCTACTGACTCTAAACATACGCGAAAAAAATGGAGTAAAGAAATGAACGAATTCATTTGGCGTACATACCTCATCATCAC